TGTTGCACATTACTCACATCTCTTAACCTCAGGAATCTGCATTGCAGCTTCAACTTCTCACATCTGCATGCATCACCCTCTTAGGGGCTTTCTACAGGGATTCTGACCCTGATAAACTTTGCCTAGCCTCCCAGGCCTTTCTTTGCAGTCTCAGTGGACACCTCCATGACCCTGTAACTTCATCATCCTTTATTCCTGCAGAACCAGCACCACATGAATGACACCAAAGTCTGTTGTCATGTCAAGCAGTAGCCAAACCTCTCAGAACCATGGCTGTAGTGACCTCTGAGTGCCTGGAGAGCATGTTAAACAACTTCCTAGTTTGCCCTGGGTAAGCAGGATGTCCCCATGGTCTCTTCTCAAAGAAATTTTTTACCTTTAAACACGTGAGCCTGCTATTAGTATGATCTTGCCAATTCCAGAGATGTCCTCAGGCCTTCTTTCATATTATCTCTGTGTAAAGTACTTAGCATCTTTTTAGTGGCTATAATCTTTTCAACACCACATCTTCTGTGTTACCTACTTTACATGCACTTAGTTTTTCAAATCTTTATGCTTTACTTTCTGTTCCTCACAGTAAATTTGGTAAAGGTAAAAGCTTCCAACAATATCCATGTCACCATCTAAATGCTGTTTCCTTAAAATTTTCTCTTCCAGATTACTTAGTCCATTGCCTTTAAATTCAGCCTCAAAGAAAGTCTCAAGATATGGGCAAAAGGTAAACAACTTCTTTGCCATAATGCAACACAGATGACCTCTAGTCCAATATTAAATAGAGTCTTCTTTCCTCTTGCAACCTCATGAGTCCAGTCTTGACTGTCCATAGTCCTGTTGGAGTTCTGGTCTTTTGAGCTCCCACCAGAATCACCCATTAAGCTCCACTTACAACACTCTGAGGCTTCTCTAACCTTAATTTTCAAAATTTTCCAAACTCCTCTAAAAACCTATTCCAAATGCTCTGAACCACATAGGTTAGTCACAGCTATGACGCCACTTCCCAGTACCAGTTTCTGCTTTAGTCAACAGTCCATCTCTTTTATCAAGACAGTCAACAAGAACAACTCAGAGGAGGAAGAGTTTATTTTGATTTATGAATTCAGAGTTTCAGTTCATAGTCACCTGACTCCATTGCTTTGGGGCTGAGGTGAGACAGAATATAATGGTGGAAGGGCATGGAAGAGGAAAGCAGCTCAGCACATGGAAACCAGGAAGGGAAGATAGAGAGAGGGAGAGAAGAGGAAAGAGGATGGGGGGTAAGTGTGCACCAGGGACAAAACATAAACCCAAAGCATGCCTCCAGTGACCTACTTCATCCTGTTTGCCTACAGTTGCCACCCAGTTAATTCATTCAAGTGAATTAATACCAATTAGGTTCCAGTGTTCACAACCTAATCATTTCACTTCTGAACATTCTTGCATCATCACATACAAAAGCTTTTGGGGGACCCTAGCTCCAAACCATAGCACTGGGAGTGTGCATGTGTATGCCCTGGTCTCTCCCTCTTCTTTTAAAGTCACAAGAATTCAATCACTGGGGCTCAATCCTGATGACCTTAACTAGTACTACTCACTTCCTGAGTCTCCACCTCTAGACACCATAGTTGGATTAAGTTTCCACCTTCTTAATATCTCACAATGGGGAAGAAATTTCAACATGAGTGTTAGAAGAGAAAAACCATAGCAAATTATACAACTGTAATTTTAAAATTAAATTTTACACATGTCTCTCTATTGAGAATTATTCCTGGACTCTGGAAGGTTTACTTTTCCACCCCCTTATTAATGAGCAATAGTTACTGTCTACTGATCAAGAATGTCTATGATGTAACTCTTATAAAATTAATTTTTCTAATTTTTTTTCTAGCAAGACACTGATTTATCCCTGCTTGTCACTTTCTAGCAATTATATTGTGCCTTGTGGTTCATGATATTCTGTTGTTTCTCCCTGCTGAACGGAAATTATTTCTTTCTCCCAGCTGGGACAGTTCAAACCAGAGAGCCCTTGGCTTCATGTTTATATGTCTCTCCGCAGAGAGCCCTGAGGGGCTGCCTTTTTGTGTAAGTTCTTGCTCTCCTTGGGCTTTCTGGGACACCCATTTCCTAGCCCAGAGAGCACAACATTCTTTTAAATAGCTGTCTTATCGATTTGCGTACGTGCTGTTTGTACTCGTGCCCGGAGGATGTGTGTACCTTCAAGGGAAACATATTCAAAATTTAATAAATAAACAGGAGTTGTAGAGAATCTGCTCTGCGTCAGGAAACCAAGACTGGGATCAGGTATCAGCCCCTTGTTTGAGGGTCAGTCTATATCTGGGGGTGCCACTGGCTTTCTGAAGATAGGTCTGGGAGGAGAAGAAGAGAAGGAGAAGAAGAATGAGGGAGTGTGGATGATGAGGACCACAAGTGAGACATGGAAAGAGAAAATGAGCAGCACGGCAGGGAATGAAAATGTACCTGTGCATGTACATGTGTGTGTGTGTTCCCCAGGATCCAGGATCACATGGACATGGGAAGAGAAGGAAAGATCGAGACTGGTATCTTAATGTTTCTTAGGGTGAAGGGAAAAATAGACAAATTAGAAAAATAAAATCTGACCAGAAAAATCCAACAGCTTCTAGGGAAGAATTTCACTTAGGTAAAATAATACATGCTTAGGTGTCAATGCAAAAGAAATGAATGGGGGAAAAAAGAGAGTTCTATCAGCCACAGGGATGCCCATGGTAAGATATTAAACCAGAAGTTCATCTCATAAGTTAGGGGGCTGTGATGGAGAGGGATACTGGAGTACCTGCAAGATCTTTGAGTTGGGTGAGGGGTTCTCTGGTGTTAATTGATATAGTTGCTCACCCTTATTTATAGGGGATACATCCAGAGACCCCTGGTAGATGCTGGGAGCTTCAGATAGTGGCAAAGCCTATACTGTTCTTTCCTACACAAATTATGTGACAAAATACCTGAGAAAAAACAACTTAAAAAGAAGAAAGATTTATTTTAGTTCACAGTTTCGGAGGTTTCAGTCTCTTGACCCCATTACTTTGGCTGGTGGCAAGGCAAGACATCCTAGTGGCAAAACCCTTGACAATGAGGAGTTATATGTGGTGGAACAAAGTTGCTCACTTCATGGTGGCCTTGAAACAAAGAGAAGTAAAGAAGGAAGGGACCAGAGACAAAACATATCCTTCAGGGACACACCCCCAATGACCTACTTCCTGCTAAAGTTCCCACCACTTCTCAACAGTTCATTAAGGTATGAATTCATCAATGGATTAATCCACTGATGTGGTCAGAGCCCTTACAGCCTGATCACCTCCCAAAGGCCGACCTCTGAACACTACTGTACTGGGGACCAAGTCTTCAATGCATGAACTTTTAGGGACATTTCAGATCCAAATGATAAGAAATGCATACTCATAGTAATATTTATCTTATAAATTAGGCCCAGAAAGAGATGAACAACAATGAGTGATAATAGAATCATTATAACAATATATTGTAATATCATTTATGAAGATGTGGCCTTTCTCTTTTTTTTTTCCCTCTCAAAATATCTTCAGAAAAGGTAAAGTCAATTACCTAGAATTTCAAATGGTTTACATTTGCCAGTTTCTCTCTCTCTCATACACTTTGCTAAATTGAGATTATATCATTATTCTACCCCCTAAATTTTAAAGCAAATATTTTTCCAAGAACAGAGGTAATCTCTGAATAATCAGTGTTATTGGACACTGAGCATTAATGTTGATAAAATACTGTCACCTAACGTACAATCTGTATCTAAGTCTCTAATTGTTCCAATCATGTCCTTTGCTAACAACAACAAGAAGAAACCCAGGATCTGCTTGCATTTGGGGGGTCAGTTAGGTCAGTTATTTTGTAAAACACCCTCAATTTAACTTTGTCTGATTATTTCTTTTTGATTAAATTCAGACTGAACATTCATGCAAGAGTACTACTAAGGTGGTATGAAGCACTGAAAATACCTCACGGCAGGAACACATGATGTCTATTTCCATTATCAATGGTGTTAAATTTGATCATTTAGTTATGATGCTGTGCACCAGATTTCTCTGTTGTATTGGTAAAATTTCTCTTTTGTGGGAAATAAGTTAGTCCGGGGGATGATACTTTGGGATTCTATGAATATCTTGTTCCCCAGTGACATTTTACCCTTTGTTTCTACTGTCTCTCTGTGTCCTGACTTAGATAATTATTGCTCTGGTGATTACCAAATAGTGGTTTTTCAAATTCTGTAATTTTCTATGCATCAGTTGATATTCTTCTCTGAAGAAGAACCTTTCTTTCTCCTCTACATTTTCTAATCAGTATATGCTTCTGGACTTTTAAAATATTTAAATTTAAGACAGTATGCATTTATTTATAACACATTTCTGACATTTGTCATTTTTTATAATTTTTAAATTTGTTTTAATTAGTTACACATGACAGTACTATGATCTTGACATATCATACATTTGAATCAGATGGGATATAATTTCTCATTTTCCTGAGTGTACAGGTTGCAGAATCACATTGGTTATGCAGTCACCTATATACACACATTTGTCATTTTGAAGTTTCTCTTTTTCCATATTTGGCCAGCAGGAGCCCGTATCAGAAAAGTTTTTGAAAAAAAATTATTAAATGAAGGAAAGAACAGTATGAAGTGAGGAACACATCTGTGCTTACCCTGTGTTCCCCCAAGTATCTCTACTTGTTAATCTAACACAAATGCATTTTTTTTTTTTTTATTTCTCTCTAGGTCTCATGGACTAATTGGCTTTCGTTCAGCAGGAACCTAACAGACAAGTCCTTCTGCTGTGTATCAAGACAATGCTTGGTTGAAACACTTCTGAAAATGATCAAAGCTGTGTTGCAATGTGACATTGTCAGAGGAGGACAAACAGCTTGAGAATTTCCAGTTAATCACATCACAGCTTGAAGGAAGCCCCTTTCCATCAAGCGGGACTGCATGGCCAGCAGTCCCCACTGAAGGGTTGACAATGAGTATCCCAGCAGCTCCTAAGAAATCATGTTTCAATCAGTTGCGGGACAACAGAAATGGTGCGAAGAACAATAATGAGAGCATCCTAAGTCTGGGAGATACAAATGCCAATCAAATCATGTTGGAGGTCAGCTCCTCTCAGGGTGAGTCCGAGACACATGACCTGGTGGATGAAATTGGAAATGCCAATTCAAGTGGGCCAGAACACCACACCCACTTCCTTAAGGAACCTCACCAATATCAGGGCTTTGGGAAAGGACCTCAGGCTGCCTCCACCAGTTTGAAAGATTTTAAACTTTCTCCGACCATCCAGAGGGAGCTACATGAAGAGCACACAATGGAGAGAAGCACAGATATCTTGCAGAACCCTCGGAGTGTGCAGGGACCAAGTCTGTCAAGTTGGAGGACTGTAATGGGTGAGGTTAGTCTAGAGGTTCTGGCTAAAAGGGATGTTGAAATTCCCAGGCACATTCCCAAGGATAAGTTGGCAAAGACCCTGGACAATGAGGAATTGAAAAGGCATTCTTTGGAAAGAGCTAGCAGCTCTGCAGCTGCATTTGGGAGCTTGACTCTGCAGCATCAGCAGCCTGCACAACTGGATGCCCTTGAGCCCCGGGGTCATGTGCCTGGGGGTGGAGAAGGGCCACAGAGGACATTGACTGATCACTCTCCAGGGGCAGCTTTCCTTCCAGCTGATAATACCTCAGAGGGAAAGAGTGTACGTCCTCCTAAACCATCTACCTCAGAAGCCAAGGAGACCAGTCCCTCAGAGACCCAGACAGAGGGGGCACACAGACTGAATGTTTGCCACGAGCACGCATCACGTGCTGCCCATCCAGACCCTGCTCTGAATTCAACTTTGTCATTGAAGGAAATCTTGAGTTATCCAGAAGCACAATTAGGTCAGGGGAAGGGGGAACCAAAGCTGGAACTGAAATATGTTCAACCCAGGACCGGGCAGGAGCCAAAGTCGACCCAGGCAGGGGGTCTGGGGTGTCGCAAGGAAGAGAGTGTGTCACACCAAGACAGAAAGGAGTCACGTGGAGAAGCACACAAAGAAGCCATGTTTGCAGTTAGCAACGCTTCAAATAGCAGCCAGCACCATCCTGGAGGGGGAAGAGGCAACAGCCAGGAGAAGACAGGAGTCGGTGCTGGGGTGGAGGATCTTCTCCAGATCAGCCCCAAACAGAGTCCTGCTTCCTTGGAAGTGGCTGGAAATCTTCCCACTGGCAAAGTATCACCAAGTATAGGTAAGAAGTTGAAGGAAATGACATCCAGCAACTTTTTACCCAGTGATGGCCACGTAGCTTTTGTTCCTAACGATCTGACGGACAGCAAGCCCTTGGATGTCAGCGAGGAGACAAAGAGGATGGGCAGTGGGAACAGGGAAAGGACCATGGTGTTGGCCTCAGATCCTTCTCCCAGAGAGAGCAAAATGGAGTCCCCGAACCCTCAAAGCAGCTGCCTAGAAGCAGGGGGAAAAGAGACCACAGTACCCGTGGTGGAAAATGGGAACCTTCTGGAAGATGCAGCCAAGAGTGAAATCACCCCCTCAAGAGCAGAGTCAAGTCTCAGTACCCCGGCTCCTCTCCACCCAGAGACAACTGTGAACACGACCCACCAGCCCACGCCACCCAGTAGCAGTTTTCAGGACCTTGGTGTGTTCAGTGTGAACGCAGGGTCACCCTCAGCAGTCTCACCCGCCACTGACAGTGTGCGGCTGCTCAACACATCCCCAAAAGTGCCTGAGAAGAACACCTGCCCCAGTGGGATCCCTAAACCTGTTGTTGCACCTTCCAAGGACATACCTTCCTCAGAGGAAGGAATGGAGAAGCATCAGGTTGAAAAAACAGAGGAACGGACAGACGTGAAGCCCGTCATCGTGCCCAAGCCCAAGCCTGTGAGGCCCAAGATCATCACCTACATCCGGAGGAATCCACAAGCCCTGGGCCAGGTGGACACTTCACTGGTCCCTGTGGGGCTTCCCTATGCTCCACCAGCATGTAGCATGCCTCTTCCCCAGGAGGACAAGGTGGCAAGTGGAGACCTTAAGCCATCAGCTAACCTCTATGAGAAATTCAAGCCAGACTTGCAGAAGCCAAGGGTCTTCAGTTCTGGACTGATGGTGTCTGGCATCAAGCCCCCAGGACATCACTTCAGTCAAATAAGTGAAAAGTTTTTGCAGGAGGTAAGAGATTGTCCCTTTGATATGACCTATAAGTTGTGTGTCCGAAAGTCTTCAATGAAGACTTTTAGGTGTTTAATACATCATGAAAACAAAATATCCTCTCTAAGCAAGTTGACAATGTTCATGGATAGATATACATTTATAGAAGTCAATGCTTTTAAAAAATTTTCTTAAAAAATATTTATATTTTTTAGTTGTAGATGGATACCATACCTTTATTTTATTTTTTATGTGGTGCTGAGGATTGAACCCAGTGCCTCATGCATGCTAGGTGAGTACTCTACCTCCAAGCCACAACCCCAGCTCTGTAGTCCATGGTTTTGATGGGAGGAGATCATCTAGAGGAATGGATAGTTTTGGCTTGAAAAGTTGAATGTCAAGATGAGATGCACCCACCATCTAAAGAGACCCATTTAAATTTCACCTAGTGTGATCCATATGAAATTAGATAAGTATGCATTTAATCTGGTTTCAGTGTTTAAATAAGTGAGCATAATTCTGTAAACCAGGTTAAAGCAAGAATGAATTCAAAGTAATTGGATTCTCTTCAAATTGAACAGATATCCTCTGATGGAGAGTATTTCCATTTTAGGAGAATCTCCTGTTCATACATGTGAAGAACATTGGGAATGAGCAGAACATAATGTGATTTTAGTTTGTTTTTAGTAAAAATGATTCTGACATTTAGCTAATTGTCTACTATGTCCTGGGCCCACATACATAGTCTTTGTCAGTCTCCACTAACTCTTACAGTGATTCTCTGGAGGTTGGTACAACAGTGTTTATCATTGTAGATATGAACATGTGGACTTGGGGGGGGTGTAAACCATTCACCTAAGGCTACAAATCAAGGACAGCACTGAGTCTCAAGCCTGTGCAGTTGCAAACTGCTCCATGCTATTCCCATCCGTGCCCAGGTGCTATGGTGAGTTATCCTTGAAGACCTCAGAAATCTGCTGAAACAACCTCTTCATGGGAGCCAGGGTTAAAATGTAGGTTATCAGATCATCTTCTTTCTAACATCCTCCAGGGTTATCCAGGACACCTGGAACAAAACCCAGAACCTGTAGGATGGCTCAGCCTTTAGGATGTGCTTCTTGTGGCTGCATTACCTGCCTACCCAGCCTCCTCGCCTTCTACTCCCTCCTCACTCTGTTGCCTCTGGTCCTTTGCTCATCCTTCTGCTTGGAACGTTCTCCCAGTTGTCCAAGTGGCTCTCTCCCTCACTTTCTTCAGGTCTGTGCTCAGATGTCATCTCATTGAACAATCCCCCCACCTTCCCTCTGAATCCATGTTCTTTGGTGTATTTCTTCCCATAACTTTCCTCTGTCTGACATACAGTTATTTCTGCACTGAGGAGAATGTCAATTCCACAAAGTGAATATTCTTTTCAATGTGTTGTTCCCTACTGGTTCTCAGAATTTATAATGGTGTTTGATGTAAATGAATGCTCAAAAGATTTTGAATGGGGACAGAGTGTAGCTCAGCGGTAGAGCACTTGCTTAGCCTGTGTTTGATCTCCAGGGTTCAATCCCTAGCACCACACATACACAAATACTGAATGGCAGTTCATTTATGAGCTCCATATGTGTCTGGATCCAAACAATAATACACTAAGACTAGAAATAGAATGATTGAGTCCAAGGCTGGACTCCAACTTGATTGAAAGTGCTGACATACTTAAAGAGTACTTAAAGAATGCAGGCTTGCACAGTGTTGTCTGCATGGCCTCCTATTCATTATGGGCCTTTCCTGCACTGACCCTGTGACATCATATTCTAGCCAAGATGACCCTTGGGTCTGGCTCTAGGCAGTGGCTTCTCACTAACGTTGGACCAACTGCTATTCTGGTTTTGTATATCAGTCTCTGAATTTGGTTAAGGTGAGTCATTCTCAAGTTTTCAAATACTCATCCACCTGGGCCTCCAAGGCCAGCCTCATGCTCTGCTGCCGGGCACTCCCACCAGCCCCTGGGAGCTGACCCTCCTGAGGCTTGCAGGCACCTTCTTCTCAAAGTATCTCTGCAGACATTCCATGAAAGGACCTTAGATTTTTCTCTGCCAAACATGCTCACGAGGAAAACTTGATTTGGAGATGAGGACAAATATCCTGTTGCTATCGGCAATTCTTTCTCAGGGGCCTCTTGTTTTTCTTCTGTATGTTCCTTTTCTATGTTGCTTCTATTTTCTCTGAAAATAATTACCATAGGCATGTTTTTCCCCCAAAACCATTTTCTTCCTCCTCCAGAAAGCTGGAAGGAGAAAGCCTTGAGGGAGTGGGAGTATGTAGACGTGTGTGGCACTAGTGGTTCTGAGGGAGAGACCCTGTTGAAGTGCTGAAAGCCTCCCAGCCTTGTGCCAGGCACACTATCTGGGGACCATTTTCAGCTGTAATCAGAGCATCCATGGCCGTGCAGTCCCTTTCTTCAGGCCTCGGTATGCAGCAGGGAGCCCTGGGCACCTGGGCATTAACTCATTTCTGTGATAATTCTCTTTAATCAAAAGTGGGGAGCGGCCTGGCCCTTGGGCACTTGTTCCTACGGCTGCAACTTGACGGAACCCAGCAGGCCCAGCGCAGGGAGATCCAAAGGCCACCCTCCCCTGCCAGTGTGCCCTGAGCTCTCCTCCAGTGACTCCATTCAGTCGCTGAGAAAAGAACACATTTCTGACCGGTTGCAACAGAAATGCTTTTCAATGATTGAAGCCATATAGTTTTTGATAAAGTGGGAGAATCTTAAAAATAAAAACCCAAACTAGCTTCATGTTTTTCCATTATTATTGACAGATTTCCCCCCAAGTTAGAAAGTTTGTATAAAGACAGAGAAATCCAGAGTAAGTGCTCATGTGAGGGAGTCTCTTGTTGGTTGGCAGAAACGGCACAGACATTGAAAGTTTCCAGAAGTGACTTCTGAGATTATCACGTCAGGATAATGAAATATGCTCACTTGTTTATACCGGTCTCTGCTTTAGGCTCTCCACAGGTCCCAGGGACACTCTTCCACTGGTGATTTTAAGGGGAAGGGAGGTGGGAAGAAAGGACTAGGAATTGGAAGGACAGGGGAAGGTGGTGTCTCACAGTCTGCAGATATGCAATGCAGGGTGGGTCCCCTCGCCATTCCCTGGTTCCACCTCATCTCTGAGGGACACCATTATGATCAGGGCTCTCCAGAGAAATAGAACCAATAGGAAATTTTATGTGTGTGTATGTGTGTGTGTGTAAGCGCCCACACGAGAGAGAGATCTGCGTACATGCACATACATGTACACAGAATCTGATTTATAATCAGCCCTTCACACGCATGGGTTCCACATCCTTGGATTCAACCTATGGTGAATTGAAAATATTCAGGAAGAAATTGTATGTTCTGAAAAAATGTGCAGAGTTTTTTTTCTTGTGACTATTCCCTAAAAATATGAATAAAGCAATGTTTACATAGTATTAACATTGTGTTAGGTATCATAAGTAATCAAGAGATGGATTAAAGCATATGGGAAGTTGTGAGTAGGATATATGTAAATAGTATACCACTTTATACAAGAGACTTGAGTGTCCATGGATTTTGGTATCCACAGTGGGTCCTGGACCCAGTCTCTTTCAGATATCAAGGGACAAATGTATTTAAAGAACTGTCCCACGTGACTGTGGACGATGGCATGTCCAAATTCTGCAGGCAGGCCCGAGAGCCAGCAGCCTGGACACCCAGGAAAGACGTGGTCCCTCAGTTTGAATTTGAATTCCCTCTTCTTCAGAGGAAGTCAGTCTTTTTTAGTTAAGGACTTCAGCTGATTGGATGAAGCTCACCTATGCTGTGAAGGGTGATCTGCTTTATTCAAGGTTTGCTGATTTAAATATTAATCTCATCTAAGAATTATCTTCACAGCAACCCTTAGTTGGTTGAACATTACTGGGACTCCGGGGCTCACCCAAGTTGAAAGATTATATTAACCATCACAGGCACCTTCTCCCTGCCCCTGACCCAGTGGATGCTCAGGGAGGCCTCATTTACCCTGTCTCTCCCCAGCCACAATCCCAGTGAACACGGGGTGTGGGAGCTAGGAGGGGGACAATACCAGAAGAATGTATTTGCTTGCATACCTTGATTTTTAGGAATTTGTTTGAAATAATACGGTTCTTTCGTTTGCTTTCAAAGTTCTTTCTCTAAAAACCTCCACTGGAGAAGAGGGGAAGGGCAACTCTTGGCACTGATGTCTGTGTTTACGACAGTGCCGGGTGCCCTGTTATGTTCTGTCAGTAAAGATGAAAGAAAGGAGTATGAAGCTTTTTGTAGATTCCCTTGTCTAATTAAAAATGCATAAACCAGGCATCTAAGGCACACTTTTCGCCTTTTTGAAGAATTTATGCTCTTACCAGAAATAAATTACCCAATCAAATGACAGGCATTGAAGTTATCAAAATCATAAAAGTCATTCTGGAGTGAGAGTGCGGTGGATTTTGACCTTTGAAAAGTGTCCAGTTCCAAAGAACTGAGTAATTATTGAGAACAGAATATTTTAATACTGAAAACCCTACTGATGTGGGTTGGAATTGATATTAATTCCCCATGAGAGCACCTGCTCAAAGCAATGAGCAATAGGGCTCAAAACTTAGAAATTAAAATTTTAAAAAAACAGAGGGTATAGGAATATAAGGAAAAAAAGCTAGAGATCAATAGTGAGAAAGTAAGGACAAAAATTTATTAGACAGTAGATATAGATGCCCTTTCTCTGGGATATAATTTACTAGCCTGAGTTACATACATCTATCTGCTCTAACAGTCAAGCATCGTTTGCAATGTGATTATGATAAAAGCTTAAACACTTAATCTTTTGTTTCAATAATGCCAGTTTTCAGGAGAACTTTATTTCAAACATTAATGAAGTATCACACTAAGGGTTTACCTCTTCAACAGCTTGGATCAAATCTTTTATAACCCTTATTAAAGAATATTGTTAAATGTTCGTGATTCTTAAATAGATAGACATTTGACACATAAAATGCATTGTGATTTTGAACACAGTTAACAGATGTATCTTTTCACGTATTGCCCCTAGCACGTTTTTCCCCCCATTATAACTTAAGAAAATAAGTATGTAGTTCTGATTCTTTTTTCCCCGTTTGATTTAAAGAAGAAATGGACTGGGGATTAGCTCAGTGGCATAGTGCTTGCCTGGCATATGCAAGACCTGGTTCTATCCTCTGGATGGCAAAAAATAAAATAAAGAAAAGAAACACCAATTATGCCAACAGACATTGGAAAAACAGGATTGCTTTATAAATGGTAGATACCTACCTACAAGTTGTATTCCAGCCCAAACTGGTAAGTATAGGAAAAGTAACAGTAATATCATGATTTCTTTATTTTTTCCAAATAGCCATTTCTCCCTTAATAACAATGCACATTTTGTTTTATACATAGCCAAGTAAAGACAATATAAATTAATAAATTGTATCTACTTATTTTAAGACAAAGTTATATTCACAATGGTACCTTTACTCCACAGGTGTGGTGAAAGTTTCATAATTTTGTGAGCATTTGCTATATTCTTGTTTCACTGCCATTATTTATTTAAAGATTGAATACTGATTCCAATTCCAGTGATTTTGTAACCATTAAAGATTATAGAGGGAGTTCATATTTTCTCCCAAAGGAATATAGATTCCTAGAACAATCCAAGAGATCATCTAGTTGTCAACTTAGGCATGAAGATGCCGAGGCTCAGAGACTGGAAGAGATTTGCAATCAAGCAGCTCAGTGGTACCAGAGTGGATATTGTTTGAACCTGAGTCTCCTGAACCTGTTTAGTGTCACACTGTGGTGTGAAGATCCTGACTGAGCTTTTAATCATTTATTGTAGGTGACAGACCATCCTGGAAAAGAAGAATTTTGTTCTCCTCCCTACACTCACTACGAAGTCCCTCCGACTTTCTATCGGTCAGCCATGCTTCTGAAGCCCCAGTTGGGACTGGGTGCCATGTCCCGCCTGCCCTCTGCAAAGAGCAGGATTCTGATAGCGAGTCAGAGGTCTTCAGCAAGTGCCATCCACCCACCGGGACCCATAACAACAGCTGCCAGTCTCTACAGTTCTGATCCTTCAGGTAACGGTCCAACAGTCGCTGCCTTTTCTTAAAAAATGTGGTAACCTTTGAAAATGCGAATGCCTCCCATCCCATAAGAAGAACCTTTTCCTGCTCATCCATTTGTCAGGAGATGCAGACATTTGTTAAAACTCATCTGTTGGCAGCTGCTGTCCTCTGTATCACCTTTACAATGCCAGCCCTTATCACCATCTCCTGGCTTCCTATAGTTTCTCCCTTCTCTAAAACACCCTGTCGACCAGGGTTCAGAGGCTGCTTCTGCCAAGAGACAGGTGGTAAATATTTTACCTTTAGGGTCAAACCCCTGTGTCATAACTACTTAAAGCTACAATTGTAGCCTGAAGACAGTCCCAGGCCATATGTGAGTGAGCAGGTGCAGTGTCACTTACAAACAAGGTATGGGATGGATTGCCCGTCCTCAGTTGGCTGTAGTTTGTTGGAGAGATCTTCCTAGGGTGCAGCACTAGCCACCTCACCCTTCCACCCATTCACCAGTCTTGAAAGCCCACATTTTCTTGCAGAGAAAGCCTTTCCCAGCCCTCAGCTCCTGTACTACAGCAGTGGCCAGTGGCCAGGTCTCTCCTATGCTTCTCTGTACTCCTTTGCTGTCCTCTGCTCCTGTGATTTCCTCTGGGATTTATATATTATTCTATTATAGAAATAATACATTACATTTGTCAAAAAGTTTGGGTATGGACAAATATGACAAACATAGACCAATATGACCAAATTCTAATATAAACAAATAGGAAGAAAAACATCCTGCTTACATTATTAGAACCTGGCTAGTGTTAACATCATGGAACATTTTCTTATATCTTATTGTATATTAGATATTATGTTATAGTATGTTGTATATTATACTATGTGGTATATAAGTTTGACAAGTGTTATAAAATCATGGAAGAAAATGTTTTGAGAAATTGTAACCAGAAGACTCATGTGAGACGCAGGTGCTTCATGGTAGCCTCTTGGAGGAAGGAAGAAGAGGGTTGGCTGGCGGGAAAATAAAATTTATTTAATCATTTTCCAACTACCAATGGGGTTCTGCTTATTTACACTAATAGAAATAATGCTAACGTTTCCATTTTTGTATATAATTATTTCTCTTCATTTATGTTGTTTTCTTGGTACAAATGATCTGAAGTTCCTTATTGAATAAAAGTACATCTGAACATTCTTTTAAAACCAACAAATTTTCTAAAAAACTTGCAACAATTGTTTTCATGCTAGTGCTTCTTCAGAGTGCTGTTTTCTTGTCATATCCTTGCCAGTATTGAGCATTATCATCATTATTATTGTTTCACTTCTTTTGTTTGAGAAGAAAGTTTTCTTCGTTTGCCATTGTAACACTTTATATATCATCCATCATTTACTGAGGAAATTACTGACTGTCTTAATGCTTTTTTTAAAGTTCTGTATTATTTTTATTGATTCCTGTTTTTTATTAGTGGATTATAGCTATACATAATGGCAGGGTTCACGCTGACATTTCATAAGTGGATATAACAAAATTTTCTCCATTTCAATCCTCAATGCTGTCCCCTTCCCTTACTTCCTCCTTCCTCTGAGCCCTGTCCTCTATTCTATTGGTCTTCCTTCTATTAATTAATTAATTAATTAATTTTTAAATTGATTTAAGGAAAATAAATGACAGCACAATGCATTACAATTCTTATTACACATATACAGCACAATTTTTCACATCTCTGGTTGTATATAAATATGTTGACACCATTTATTTTTTAATTGGTACATTATAGTTATACATAAAAATGAAATTCACTATGATATATTCCTATGTTTGCATAACTTAATTTGGTCAGTTGCATTTCACAGTTTCTCCCCCTTTCCACCCCTATTCCCTCTCTTTAATCCCTTTATTCTACAGTTCTCTCTTCTATTTTCATGAGATTTCCCTTTTTAAAATTTCTCATTTCTCTTTATTTTCTGTGTATGAGAGAAAACATTTGACCCTTGACTTTCTGAGTCTGGCTTATTTCACTTAGTTTGATGTTCTCCAGTTCCATCCCTTTACCAGCAAATGACATAATTTTATTCTTCTTTATGGCTGAGTATTCCAAGGAGGGGGAGAGCTGGGCCATATGGAGATTCCATCCTAGTCTTTTGAGGACTCTACACACTGCCTTCCAAAGTGGTTGTCCTTGTTTGCAGTCCCACCAACAGTGCATAGCATACCTTTTCCCCTACTTCTTCTCCCACATTTGTCATTATTTGTGTTTTTGATGGTTGCCATTCTACCTGGAGGGAGATGAAATCTCAGTATAGTTTTGATTTGCATTTCCCTAATTGCTAAGGATGTTGAAAATGTTTTCATATATTTGTTGGCCATTTGCATTTCTTCTTTTGAGAAATGTCTGTTTAGTTCATTTTCCAATTTATTGATATGGTTACTTGTGTGGATTTCTTTCTCTCTCTTTTTTTTGGTGTTAATAAGTTCTGTATGTTTTCTGGATATTAATCTCCTGTTGAAAGAGTAGCTGACAAAGATTTTGTCCTATTCTGTAAGCTCTTTCTTCACTTTTAATTGTTTCTTTTTCTATGCAGAAGCTTTTTAATTTGATGCCATCCCATTTAATGATTTTTGGCTTTTATTTCTTGAGCTTTAGAAATCTTATTAAGGAAGGTGGTGCCTATTCCAGTATGTTGAAATATTGACTCTCTATTTTCTTCTAGCAGTTGCAGTGTTTCTGGTCTATTTCCTAGGTCTTTCATCCACTTTGAGTTGAATTTTGTGCAGGGTAAGAGATTGAGATCCAGTTACATTCTTCTGTATATGGATAGCCAGTTTTCCCAGCACCATTTATTAAAAATGCTATCTTTTCTCCAGTGTATATTTTTGGCACATTGGTCGAGAATCAGATGACTATATCTATATCTACATCCATCTCTAGTCTTCTAGTCTATTCCATTGGTCTTCATGTCCATTTTTACATCAACATCATGCTGTGTTTGTTACTGTATAGCCTTGTAGTATAATTTAATATCAGGTGTTGTTACCAGCATTATTCTTATTGATCTGGACTACTTTGGTTGTGCTGGGTCTTTTATTCTTTCATATGAGTTTTAGGAGTGTGTTTCTAGTCTGTGAAGAATGTCCTTTGGTGGGGATCATGTTGAATCTGTATATTGCTTTTGGTAATATGCTATTTTGACAATATTAATTCTGCCTGTCCAAGAGCATGGTAGCCCTTTCCATTTTCTAAGTTCTTCTTCAATTTTTTTCTTTAGTGTTTTATAATTTTCACTGTAGAGGTCTTTTACCTCCTTAGTTAGATTTAATAAGTCTTTTTTTTAGGCAATTGTGAATAGAATTGTTTTCCTTATTTCTTTCTCAGAAGATTCATTATTGTAGTATAGGAAAGACTGATTTTTGTGTGTTGGTCTTGAATTTGCTACTTGGCTGAATTTGCTTATCAGTTCTAGAAGTCTTCTGGTGGAAATTTTTGGGTCTTCTAAGTATAGGATCATGTCATCAGCAAATAAAGGTAACTTGACATATTTTCCTATTTACATCCCTTTAATTTCCTTCTCTTGCCTGATCGCTCTGTCTAGAGTTTCAACAACTATATTTTTAATATTTATTTATTTATTATTATTTTTATTTTAATATTTTTGGGAGTATCAGAGATTGAACCTGGGTTGTTTAAGCCTCATCCTGAGTCCATTTATTATTTTTTATTTTGAGACAGGGTCTTGCTAAATTGCTTAGGGCCTTGCAAAGTTGCTGAGTCTGGCTTTGACTTGTGATCTTCCTGCCTCAGCTTCCCAAGCCACCAGGATTACAGGTGTGCACCACTGTTCCTGGCAAGAACTATCTTGAATGGGGTGGTGACAGTGGGCATTCTTCTCTTGTTCCTATTTTAGAGGAAATTATTTAAGTTTTTCCTCCATTCAGTATGATGTTCGCTTTAGGTTTATAGTTTATATATACTGCTTGATATTAAGGTTAAGTTCCTTCTATCCTTAGTTTTTCTAATGTATTTAACATGAATGGGTACTGGATTTTGTTGAAGACTTTTTCTGCATCTTTTGAGATTGAGATGACCATGTGATTTTGGTCCTTATTTCTATTTATGTGATGAATTACACTGATTTACGTATGTTGAACCAACTTTGTATCCTTGAAATGAGACCAACTTGATCATGGTATCCAATCTTTTTAATGTGTTTTTAAGTACAGATTGCTAACATTTTATTGAGAATTTTTGTGTTTATGTTCATCAGGGTTAATATTCTGTAGTTTTCTTTCGTTGATGTGTCTTTTTCTGGTTTTGGTATTAGGGTTCTGGCTTCAAAGAAAGAATTTAGCAATGTTCCCTCCCCTCCTATCTCACAGAATAATTGGAGGAGGGTTGGCATTAGTTCTTTAAAAGGCTGTTAGAAGTAGGATGAGAATCCATTTGGGTCTGGACTTTTCTTTGTTAGGAGGCTTTTTATTCCTTCTTCAATCTCATTGCCTGATACTGGTATGTTTATGTTTTTTATAACCTCCTGGTTCAATTTGAGTTGGGTAGATTATATACAGAGAGAAATTTGTAAATATCTTCTAGATTTTCTAGTTTAATGGAGTATAAATTTTCAGAATAGTTTCTAATGTTCCTCTGGATTTCAGAATTGTCTGTCATAATATCTTCTTTTTCACCTCTGATTTTGTTAATTTGGATCTTCTCTCTCTCTCTCTCTTTTGGTTAGTTTGGATAAAAGTTTATAAATCTTATTCATCTTTTCAAAAAACCAACTCTTCATGAATTGACCCTTTATATTTTTTTATTCTCAATTTCGTTTATTGTATATCTAATCTTATTTTTTCCCTGTTTTCTACTGGCTTGGGAATGGGTTTTTTTCTTGTTTTTCCAGGGTCTTAAGAAATAACATTAGATTATTTATTTGGATCTTTCTTCTTCTTCTTCTTTTTAATGTAGGTACTCAATGCTAAAAGCTTTTGATTTACACCTGGCTTAATAATGTTCAGAGTT